CAGAGCGAGACTCTAACTCAAAAAAAAAAAAAAAAAAAAGAATATATCCTAAGAAAATAAATGGTCAATTGTTCAAAGATTCATGTATAAGGATGTTCATTGGAGTGAAAAGATGAGAATAGTCACTTTATCAATAGGGGGGTAATTAAATAAACATTGCACACAATAGAATTCTCTGTAGCTATCAAACAGGATGAGGCAGATCTGTATATATTGACAAGATAAGATGATATATGATTAATTGGTAAAACCAAAAGCACATTACTGGGCCATGCATAAAAATGATCTTGTTTTAGGAATCATGTTTCCTGCTTTGTTTTATGTATATATTGGCATACATAATATCTAAAAGAATAAGTAAAACAAACAGATATCAATGGTCGTTGTATGTGGGGTGTGAGGAGGAGTAAGATTACAGAATAAGATTGTGGAAATGTTTGATTTCTACTTAAACCATTTCTTTACTGTTTGCATTTTGAACTTTTTAAAATGAGTATCTATTTTTTATATAAAGGAATTCTATAAAGATAGATATTACCAATGAAATGATAATAAGGACGCAAACATAAATATGTGTTTCATATTTGTCTAATCATAAGGTCCCTTAACTTTGTGGCTGTTATTCAAGAGAGGAGTGTGGATGTTGGGGGCGGGGGTGGGGGTGAAGAAGAGGGAGAGGAGAGGGATGGAGGGGGGAGGAAGCAGAAGAGTTAGAAAGCTAGAGAGTGGGAGGGGTGGGAGAGGGAAGGAGTGAAAGAAGAGAAAGAGAGATACAGAGGGAGTAGGAGGGAGTGGGGGAGAAAGAGAGAGAGAGAGAGAGGAAGACAGAAGGAGAGGGAAAGAGGGAGAAAGAAAGCGAAAAGAAAGGGAGGAGGGGTAGAGGGAGCCAGCACACATATGCCTACAGCCATGCATGTGCCAGCGGCATACACTGGCTAGGCTAGCAAGCTGGAATGGGGGACCCAGTGAGGAAAAGGAGGTGTCATGTCACCCCATCTCTATCTTAGGCAGGTCTCAAGGCAAACGGGAAGACCTCCTCTGCCTACCCAGCATGAACTCCTTTGAAGCTGCTGTGGCTCCAAAAGGCTTTTCAGATCAAGGATGATGTTATCTTCACATTCTCTCCATCTTGGGATCCTCACATGCACACTCAGCATGCCCTCGTGGCCCTCGTGACTTCATATTTTTTGCTTTGATACTCGAGAATAGTCTTTGTATCTGCTTTGATTGTCTCTTCTTGAGGGCTAGGAAGGAAGCCTCCCGTTTCTCCTCCACCACCTTATCTACCCATCATTCCTGTCAGTGAAACCAGTCCTCACTCCTGCTCAGAAATCCCTACATCAATTACTTGTGCTTTCCCTGTGCTAGCTGCTCCTACATCTGCTCTACATTCCTTCAACCCTTGTCCCAAACCTTAATTCCCAGGAATGAATGCTGTGCATCTTAGGTGAGCTAACATTGCTGCCGTGGAGAAGCACACACTTCACTTTAGAAGATGCCTGCCAGCATACTTAGGAGTGAAGCATTATGATGTCTGCAATGTACTTTTCAGTGGTTCAGCAAAAAGGGGAAAAAGGGTGAAAAGAGAGAAAGCATATGAGCATCGATAGCAAAATATTAACAATGACTGAGAGTAGGTGGTAGGAATGCAGGTGCCTGGGGTACTGCTCTGAATTTTCTGTGTATTTTCCATATTGTATGAATCATGGTAAAAAGGGGGGAGAAAGAAGCTTCAAGTTCCATACTTGCTGAAGAGAGTGAGAGCTGTTGGTGAGATCTCTTAGATGCCCTCCGAACTTGTCCCTTCTCCATCTCCACTGCCACTGCCTGGGTTCAGGCCTTCTCTCCCCTGGCCACACACTGGAGGTGGCCTGCTCACTAGCCTTCCAGATCCAACTATCTCACTCTACCCATTCTCCACAAAGCTGCTAGGTGCAGCTTCACTGCTGCCAAGGTCCTCTGTGTTCTGGCCACAGTCTTTTCCACCAGCTTCGTCCCTCATGGGTGCCTTCATCCATCACGTGCAGGTGATCATCCAGCCACAGGAACCATTTCCAACTCCTTGAAGCTGATCATGCTGCTTCACTCCCTCTGCCTAGAAGTCCCTTCGCCCCACCAATCTTCCTCCTTTGCTACCTGGCAACCTCCTCTCCATCCTTCAGGACCTGGCTCTAATGTCACCTTTCCCAGGATAACTTCTCTGCTTTCTTCCTGTCCTGTCTTTTTATTCCCCTCCCTCCTTAAGCCATCATTTCATTCTGGGCACCCACGGTTGCACCCTCTGTAAATAGCGACCAGGTCTCATTCATTTATGTAGCACTGTCAGGTAGTAAATAGATATTTGTTACATTAGGAAATGAATGAATGAATGGATAATGCTCGAAGAGGAAGGTGGGAAAAGCTTTTCTGATTTGCATGCATGTATACTAAAGTGAAAGAATCATTATGCTCTTGATTCCTTCATTGTTCACTCACTATTCATTGAAGTACTATATCACAGATCCACTAGTCACATAACTACCTTCACACCTGAGTCCTGTTTCACTCATTCATTCATGAAACCCTTGACACTTGTTGAGCTAGGGGCACTGTGCTGAGAGTGAGGAGACTTGCAAAGATGATCAGGCAGAGACCTCAGTTCCAGGAGGGGAGCAGGGCACCAGAAGACCTAAAGAAGAGCTCAGAAGAGAGAGAAGTGACTCCTAAGAGTCTTCCAAGAGAGGGGATGAGGGGTGATTTCCTTGGTGAGCTGAGACTGCACTTGACTTTGAGGGATGGAGAATTTGAGATGTAAGCCTATGGAGGGAGAAAGGCATTCCAGATGAAGAACAAGGTAGCAGCAAAGATATGACCTAGGCCATGAGCATAGGGGTCACTGGTAATTTAGCTTTACCAGAATGTCATTGAACAGAAGAAGTGAAAAATAAGGTTGGGGAAGTAGGCTGAGTCATGGTGGCCTTGAAAACCAGGATAAAATGTTTAGCTTTCATTTTGTGAGCATGAGGTGCCATGGAGTTTTCTAAAGAGAGGGTGAATCGATTGGGTGTGCTTCCTGAAGGTGATCCCAGCAGAGGTGTGCAGGATGAGTGTGTATATCTAACTTGTTTCTCTGAGAGTGCTGCTGACCTCATTTTGCACAGGGTTTTGCTCAAAAACTTACACATTCCACACACTTAGTATGTTTCTTTAATTTTAATTGAACTGAGTTTAAAGACATGTTCACGTCAGTGAATATATGTGAATATATGAACATCTATATGCCTTGCAGCAACACACTCATTCAGCAAGTTCTCATCAACTAAAAACTCTCATGGGCAGTAATCTTTTCCTAGCTACACTCCTGTCCCTTTTCTTGGCTCTCCACTATTCCAGATCCTCAACCCTTCATTCCTGGATCGTTGCAACAGACTCCTGATGGCTGTCTTCCCATGAGCTCTCCGCACTACAAATAACCTTGGTGAACCAACCCTGCTCAAGAACCTACCATGGCTCCCTCTTAGTTACTATCATTTAAGATCCTTGATAACAAGGCCAGCCACACTCTAACCATATCTATCTTCCATTCCTTACGCAAACATTTCCCCTACTCCAGTCAGACTGTTTCCTCTGTAATTTCCTTGTTTGATCCTCCTTTCACACCTCTGTTCATACTACTACCCAACCTGCTCTTTTCCTCATAATTCATCAGAACCATAGTTCAAGGCCCAGCTTTGCCAGCAGTGTGATAAAGCATGAAGATTCAGAAAGACCTGGCTCCAGATCACAGCTTTCTGATTCTCTGTGCAAACTCAGACATGCTATACAGTCTCTGGGAAACTCAGTTTTCCCATCTATAAAATGAGAATAATAATAATATCTATTTATTATTAGGGTTATTGTCATCAATAGTGCTATTGTGAAGAGTCAGTAAATGGTGATGTTCCCTTCTTCCCTGGCCCCTTGGAACTCTTATAAAGAATTCCTGCTAGTCAGGTGCTCTTTGGGATGGACGTTCTATTTTGAGGGAGGACGTACCAAGTAGTAGACACTGTGGGCTTTTGTTATTTATTCCCGCCACGACTCTAAAATCCAAGCATTTTTATCCTCATTTTACAGATGAGAAAACTCACACTGGGAAAGGGACACAATCTGCCTGGAATCTACAGCTCTAAGTTGATGCTTTCTATCTGCTGGAGAAAAACACAGTAAAGAGTGATATCTCACAGAAACAAAGATCTGAGTATCACATGCTCTTACTCATAAGTGGACCTTGAACAACTATGTAATACTATAAGAAAAGGATTGACAGTCAGACCTAGAAAAAACAACACAGGAATTCATATGGAAACACAAACGTCCAAGAATAGCCAGAACAATCCTCAGTAAAAAAAACAAAGCA